GGTGGGGGGCACGCTCATGCTGCTGCCCTTCCTGCTGCGCCAGCACAAGGTGGGGTCATAACAAACAGGTGGACATTGCGGGGGATGGGTGTGCCCACACAGGTGGGCCTAGTCCGAGGTGTGGGGTGGCAGCTGTGCCTGTTCAAGGTGGGCTGTGCCCGGGGAGCATGGGGTTGGCCATGCCTGCCAGGCTCCCCATGCACGTGGYAGCTGGGGCAGGCAGGGCTTGCCCAGGTCTAGGGACCCCTGCTCTGTCCCAGGTGTGGCGGAAGTGCCGGATGCGCATCTTCACAGTGGCCCAGGTGGACGACAACAGCATCCAGATGAAGAAGGACCTGCAGGTGTTCCTGTACCACCTGAGGATCAGCGCCGAGGTGGAGGTGGTGGAGATGGTKCGTGTGGCCGCCGGCCTGAGGCGCCGTGGGGCTGGGTGTGGCTGGCGGAGCTGGGCTCGCAGGGACAGTGCAATGTCCCCAGTGCCTCTGGCTGATGTCTGTGGCCTAGGTACGCCTCCTCACCAGGCAACCYGTGGTGCTCCCTGCCCCTGGCCTCCAGCCTGCTCAGGCCTTGGGTGTGGCCACCTGTGGGAGATGGCCTCACGGTCCCACAGCTGGAAATAACCAGCCATCTCTGTCCGCACAGGTCATCAGTCAGTGAGGTCAGCCTGGGGCAAGGTGTAGGACAAATGGGTCATTTGGTGGACAGTGTCTACTGAGTCCCAGGCACCTCCAGAGAGCGAGATGTGGAGGCGGCCTRGGCCACGGGGGCATCTGTCCCAGCCACGGCCCCTGGACCCTAGGTGCCCTGCACTGCTGTGGCCTGCAGTGAGGCGCCTGACCCCCAGAGCCTCTGGTTGCCCTTGTGGGGTGGGGTAGCAGTTTTGCAGTCACACCAACAATTCCCGGTTGTTGATCCTGGGTGACRCCCAGTGAGCATGGGGCCTGCCCAGCTCGGGCGAGTCTGCAGTCCAGTCTGGAGTAGAGCTGCTGGGGGGGACCACATGGAACTGCCCCCGAGGGGCTCTGCTCCCGCTGCAGTGATGTGGGGAGGCCCCTGCTGCGGGTACGGAGGTCCAGTGCTGGCCGACAGCCTCCAGCATCTTGTCTGGATTTGCACCTCTGATCTCGAGTGAGGTCAGCATCTCCTCGGGCATCACTGATGACCCTTGGTGTTTTTCTCTCGGTCTCCATGGGGCAGTGTTGTCCCTGGGTGGTTCTCCCCCTGCTCTGAAGGAGCTTCCGAGGCCGGGAGCAGGTTGAGTGCCCCTTCCTGTTCTCGTGACGGGGCTCGCTGTCCAGGACTGCACATCTGCGTCAGGACAAGATCCAGCTGCTGGGAGCTAGCCGCCTGCATGGTGGCCTTAGSTCACGCAGCCCTGGCTATGGGCTTGCCCTCTGGGTCCAGCTGCTCTAAACAGTGACACACATGTCACAAGAGCTGCTTGGGAGGAGATGAGGCCTCAGGACCACAGGGGCTGGGCAGGGAGGCAGGCAGAGCCAGCCACACCCCTGACCCTGCAGCACCTGTGGGCGTGACCACCCAGCCCTCAGCCTGCAATGCCGGCTGCCTCAGAGTGCCGCAGAGGGCCACTGTCCTGTGCCCCACCAGTGGCCCAAGATGACATCATCAGCTGATGGAGTGGGGCCCTTTGACGGCCATGGTTCAGGATGATGGGCAGTTCTGAGTGAGCGCAGTGGGCAGGGCTGCTCTGGACGTGGAGCGGAACCCAGGGTCCCTGGGCAGTGGCACTAAGTGCCGTCCCCTGTGGGTCTCGTGGTGTGAGCTTGCGTGTCATAGAAAGCCGCACCAGTTGCTGGTGAGCCCCRAGGTACCAGCTGGATGACCTGTCCAGGACCCTGTGCCCTGGGTGCTGGGTCAGGGAGTAGAGATAGGTCCCTGGGAGGGCACAGGGCAGCAGAGCCTGGCTGCTGTGACTGCCGGTCACACCTGACACTCGGCTCCACACACTACCCCAGCTGCTTGGGCCCAGCTGCAGGTCCCCAGGGGCCCTGCAGGGCTCGGGCTCAGCTGCTCACCAGCTCAGGCCGCAGAGCGCCAGGGACCCCGTGCGCCTGCTGTTGGGGCGCTCTGCTCACCTGCGTGCTGTGCACCTCTAGGTTGAGAACGACATCTCTGCGTTCACCTATGAGAAGACCCTGGTGATGGAGCAGAGGTCCCAGATGCTGAAGCAGATGCAGCTCTCCAAGAACGAGCGGGAGAGAGAGGTGTGTGGGGCCCGAGCCAGACCCTCCCAGACGCATGGGCTCCGCGTCCAGGAATGCACACAGGAAGGCGTCTGTGGGGGTGAGGGCAGTGGTCAGGGAGGTGCCCCCTGCCCCCCCAGAAGCCCGTGGAGTCTGGCAGGAGTGCTGGGCAGGTGAGCCACACGTGGCCCGGGCTGCATGGATGACCGTGCGTGTGGCACACAGCCTGGGGCTTGGGTGTTGGTGAGGTGCTGGCCTCCGGTGCCCTCAGGGTGGTGCCTGAGCATTGGCATCTCTTGGCCACTCCACACTTGGAATGGCCAGCAGCGTGACTTCTGCCTGAGAGRCAGTCTCCTCCCTGGGCTCCGCGGACTCACCTGCCAGGCCTCACACCCTAGCCCTGCATCAGAGGTWTGGTAAGAGGGGGTGATGCTCTGTGGGGTCAGCGTCAGCTCCCTGCGGTCACCGGTCATGCGACGGCCCTGCCCCAGCACCTGGCTGGCCCTCTGTGGTTGGCCACAGCTCCATGCGGTTTTGGGGGCCAGGACAGGGAGGCAAGGCTGGGGGGTTCAGAGACGGGAGGAGTGAGCAGCGTTGAGAGCYGGGGGACTGCTGTCCCAGGGCTGGGGTGACCGGGGATCCCGGGCCACTGCTCTGAAGTCCTTTTCCATGGCCAGCCTGGCTCATCAGCTGCTGTCCACTGGGTAGCTCTGGTGAGCCTCTGGCTGTGCTGACCCCTGCACGCCCTCCAGGCCCAGCTGATCCACGACAGGAACACTGCGTCCCATGCCGCAGCGGCCACCAGGCCCCAGGCCCTGTCGGTGCCCGACAAGGTGCAGATGACCTGGACGAAGGAGAAGCTGATTGCGGAGAAGCACAGGAACAAGGAGGCCAGCACCCCTGGGTTCAAGGACCTCTTCAGCCTGAAGCCGTGAGTGTCGTGAGGCCTCGGGCAGAGCCAGGCCCTGCAGCCCCTGCCCCGGGCGCCCCGCCTGCCCCCCCAGGGCCCGCAGGTCCACAGAGACTCCTCTTGCTGCCTTTCAGCACCAGTGGGTTGGGCGGTGAGGCAGGTCTGAGCCCTGGGGCTGCCCTGCTCTGGTGATGGCCGCACGCGGCTGCAACCCCTCAGTTGTGCCTGACTTTCCACCAGCCGAGAGCTCCAGCAGGCCTCTGGGCCACCTCTCCCCGCGTTGTGCCCAGAGCCCTGGGCCTGGCCGAGGCCCTTAGGGCTGCAGTGGGTCCCCGGGGGGTGCAGATGTGGCTTGGTCCCGTGTCCAGCCGTGGCTGGCTGAGCCTGCAGTGGTGGAGCTGACCCTCAGGGCCCGGGTTCTCAAGGAGGGCAGAGGGGTTTTACCTGCCCTGTGGGGGGCCCCAGAGGGGCCCAGGACAACTTCTGCTGCTGGGGGTGCAGCCTGGGCGTGGTCAGCAGGGGTTCCGTGGAGTAACGTGCTCTCCGTGTTTTTCTTCCTCTAGAGAATGGGGAAACCTGTAAGTTCACGGCTTTTCCACCGCTTTACGTGGGCCACCTCGGTCCAGTTGCTTGCATGTCTGTGCTCAGCCCCTGTGTGTCCTGTGTAGCCCACTCCTCAAAATGGCCCTGGGCCTACTGAACGTCATTCCCTGAGTGATCCCTGAGGCAGCCCGAGGCTGGTCCTGAGGGCGCACGGGGTGGGCGTGTGCTTGCCACAGGAGTGACCCTACCCACACCCCCAGCCAGACCACCCCTCGGGAGCGTCCTCCTTCATCTCCAGGGAGCGGGTGTGGGTTGAGTCCCGCTGTGGTCGGGCTCGCGAGGAGCACCAGGGCCAGGGGTCTGAGGTGGTGAGCCCACAGCTGGGGTCCAGGCCGCCAGTCTCAGGAGGGCCATCCTGGCAGGACCTGCCTGGGGCTGCTGCTCTGCCCTCCACCCGTCTGCCCGTCCTCATCCCCTCTACAGTGACCTCCTAGGCTGCTGGATTTAAGGCAGGTGGTGCCCAGGGCAGTGTCAAAGCTGGGCACTGGAGAGGGCACCTCAGCCATKCGACGGGAGAGGCCGGGGGTGGGGCCACTGGGAGCGAGGCCAGCAGATGTGGGGAGCCCCCCGCCCTGCTGTCTGTGAGTCTGAAGGTGCCTCAGATGGCTCAGTTAGAAACAGTAGGTGCCGGAGCATGTTTGACCCCTGCCCTCCTTGTGCCCACGTGCACACACCTGGGTGCCTGCGTGTGCGCCCATGCATGCACACACGTGCCAGCACACACACATACACCATGCACACATGAGACTCCTTCCAGTCTTGGGCTTGCCTCTGCTGGGAGGGTTAGGATGCTCTGGAAGGTCAAGGCCAGGCCCCCCCTTTGGGTCAGTCTAGATGTGAGGTGTGCTGACGGCTCACTGCATCTCTGGAGCACACTTTGTGTGCACGCTCATGTGAACCCATGTGCACACCTCTGTTTGTGTCATGCTGGTGTAAGAGCGTGTTGGTGTATGCGAGTGTGCATACGTGTGCCTGCTGGCGTGGACCTTCCTCATCTCCTCTGCCCCTGGCCACCCTGTCCCACCCCTGTGGCTCCCAGCTGGGGATCCAGGTCTGGAGAGCCACCAGGTGCAGAGGTCCCTGTAGGTGTCCTGTTGTGGGTTTGCAGTCACTGGGAGCAGAGGGCCTCTCCTGGCCTCTGACCTCCACGGGCCACCTCCTGGGAACCCAGCCTGGCCTCTGAGGCTGAGGAAGTCCTGTGACGCACGCCCTGCCCTTCTGGAGTCCCGCCTGCCCACACAGTGACTGCCCCCAGGGTTGTGGACTCGGGGTTCTGTGGAGGCCTCCCGGTGCCATGGGGAGACCGACTGTGACCGGGCCAGGTTCCAGGGGGTGGGGCCTGCTGCCTTCTTTCCTCCAGGTGGGTGGTGGGTGTCAGCAGATGTATTGGCTTGAGGCTTGTATTTGGTCGAGCTGATCAGAGGGTGCTAGCACAGGACCTCACGGGGCCTTTCCCTGACCTACTGGTGGCCCTGCCTGGCCGTCTGTGTCTGGGGCACAAGTGACCTGCACAAGGCTGTGGAGGAGGCCTGCACAGGTCCCACCCCATGACAGGGTCAGCACGTCGGCTGGGTTTTCTAGCACAGACACCAACACCGCGGCAGGAGTCCTCTGTGGAAGGGCTTCTCCACGTGGCTTCTGGGAGGGCCAGTTCTGCAGCTGGCTGACCCAGGCTACCTAGAGAAGGGACTGTGGCCTCCTGGTCGAGGGTGGGTAAACAAAGAGGTGAGGCCTCTGTTCTCTGGGTGCCTACGTGTGCCTGTGCCAGTCTACAGTGCCCCAGAGTTACATGGCCACCCCTGGGCCTGGCCACCAGGGACGCTGAGGAACGCAGCACCAGCACTCGGTGGGAATGCACTGCGGGCAGACCTGGCCTGCACCACCAAGGCTGGAAGCCCTGTCCACCATCCGCCAAGGTGCAGCGTGGCCCYGGGGCTGAGGCCGGGGCTGGAGGGGCCCAGGTGTGGCTGCAGGTGCTCTGCTGAGCCTGTCCACATTGCAGGGCCTACCAGTGGCCGCCCTGCAGTGGCTGCTTGTCAGCTGGGGTACTGTGGGCGCTTCCCTCCTGAGCACCGGCCCTGCCCAGACCCAGAGCCTCTGCTCCGTTTGGACCCACTCAGCCAGGGTTTCAGCAGGGTCGCGTCAGACCCGAGAGGCACAGGCCCGTGGCCCGTTCCCAAGCCTGCAGGACAGCCGCTCCCTCGCACCTGCTTCCTCTGCGAGCTCTGCTTTGTGGGTGTCCTGTGCTTCTGTAGTCGCCAGCCGCTGCGTAGACTAGAGGCCTGTGGTAGTGGCGCTCAGTCTAGAATGCCGGCAGGTGCTTCCTGCTGCTCCAGAGCCGCCTGCCTGCCACCCAGCGCTTCTAGGGGCCTGCCCCCYGGGACCCCTGGGGCCACAATCCTCCTGGCCCTGCCCTGCCTAGCACCAGGAGCCAGGGGTGGGTCAGCCAGGCTGAAGGCCTCCTGCCCACTGCCGCCACCCCTCCCGCAGGGACCAGTCCAACGTCAGGAGGATGCACACGGCCGTGAAGCTCAATGGTGTCGTCCTCAACAAGTCCCAGGACGCCCAGCTGGTCCTGCTGAACATGCCGGGGCCCCCCAAAAACCGGCAGGGGGATGAGAACTGTATCCTTTCCTGTGATGTTGCCTGCAGGGACGTGGGCACCRTGGGGGCTGTCCAGTGGTTTCTGAGTTAGGGGCTGTGGCTGGGCTTTGTGCTGCCTCTTGTCCAAACAGAGGCCCCCAAGGCAAGTAGGCAGGGGCCCACCTGGGGTCACCATGCCAGACCACATGGTCCCCCTGCACTGCCCCTGGAGCTGGGGGAAGCCTGGGACAGAAGGGGAGTGGGCTGGTCCCTGTGGGTGGCATAGACCTGAGAGTAGGCGTGGGTAGGTGGGATGGGATGGGGCCCTCCAGGGTTTGGAGAGAGGACGCTGCGGCTGAGCCAGTGGGGGCCAGGGCAGTGCTGCCCCATGAGGTGCTCTTGGCTTACACTGGGGGGCAGTGCTAGGCTACAGCAAGTGGTGTGGACACTGGGCCTGGACAGTAGCGAGTCCATATGGTGCTTTCTGTGGCTGGCCCATGATGGAGTTAGGGCGAGGAGAGAACAGAACAGAAGCCAGCCCTGAGCACCCGGCCCGGTGGGGGTGGGGGCAGCCCTCACCCACCCAGGTAGGACATCTTGCCTGCTGTACCCTGGGCCATCCTGAGCTTCAGCTTGTCCTGCTCAGGAGGGCAGGCAAGCTCATGTCCCCGGGCTGGAAGCTCATGTCCGCTGACCATAGCTCAGTGGTTCAGCTGTTGTCATGCTCCCTCAAGACTGCGGCCAGCCTGTGCCCAGGTGTGTGGGGTGGGCATCTCCTGGCTTCTGGGTCAGACAGACCCTGGGTTCTGGGTGCTGGCTCTGACCCGGTCACCTGGCTGAGGTCTGCAGTGGGACTGGTGGCCACTTCCTTCTCTTTCCTGACCAGCAGCCCCTCCATGTCCTCCCCACTCCCTGGAGTCCCCCATCCCRCCCCCAGCACGGGGTCTTCTTTGGCTGGTCTCGGCCCCTTCCCAGKTGTACTCTGCGTTGTCATAGAGGGTCTCCCCTGCACGTGGCCCAGGTGAGACCTGCCTGGCCTTAACTCTCACCCAGACATGGAGTTTCTCGAGGTCTTGACCGAGGGGCTGAACAGGGTGCTTCTGGTCAGGGGCGGTGGCCGGGAGGTCATCACCATCTACTCCTAGGCCTGATGACGGTGGGCATGCCAGATGGGGTGAGGACGGTGCCAGCCCAGCTCAGACTGACAGATGTCGCTCAGGCCACCTGACCTGCTGGACCTGGCTTCCTACAGAAGTTTCTAGAGCCACCACCTGGGCTCCCTCCACACAGAAGACATTCTAGGAAGTGCTGAGAGGGGCCGCAAGTGACTGGAGAGCCCCCTGTATCCGTCCAGGGCAGAGCTCCATGTACCCAGCAACCTGGGATTGACCACTGTCCACTGCCCAGCCTCAGCCAGACTGTGACTTCGCATGTCATGGACACCCCACACAGAACACTTATGACAGAGCATACTTGTCCCCTGGGCCAAGGGCAGAATGTCAGTGTGGCTCCSTGCCTCCCATGAACAGCTGGGCCAGTGCACACTGGGCAGGGTGCTGGACAGAGCCTGTGTCCCGGTGGAGGTGTGAGTGCCAGCTGCGTCCCTTCTGGGCTCCCCCAGGGGGTCCCAGCTGCTCTTCCTAAGCACCCACAGGGCCTTGCCAGTGTGCGCCTGCTGCCCTGAGTGGCCAGCAGTGGGGGTATGCAGGGACCTAAGAGCYGGGAACCCTGCACATGGCCCACGTGCAGAGTGGAGTGCCGTCCCACCCCTTGCCCTCTGAAGGAGAAGGCAGCCTCAGCTGGACGAGCCCCCTGCTGGGCGTGGTKAGGCAGCAACAGCTGGGCACCCTCACCACCTGCTGCTGGTTTGCACTTTACCTTGAGCTTTCCGATTCTAGGTCAGTTGTGTTTGCAGGCTGTGGGCTCACTTGGCCTTGCTGGCCTCGCTGTCCACTGCGTGGGTTATTTATTTATTTAAACACCCTGGGGCCTTCTGGGGATGACCCCACTGTCCACAGAGCCTGCTTCCTCGGAGGTCCCACACCCAGGCCCTGGGYTGCCTCTGGCTTCCAGGGCTCCCTAGCGAATAAGCCCGTCCACAGAGTCCAGGTCAGGGCAAAGGCACTGTAGGGCACAGGGGGGGTCAGCTCGCCAGTGACCACTGTTCGGCTCATGTCCCACACAGGCAGTGGGCCTGCCTGGACTGAGCCGAGCCGTGTGGAAGGCCCCTGCCTCGTCCCAGGAAGGGCCTGGGGAGCCGGGCTGCAGCTCTGCCCCAGCCGGCTTTTCCTTTGTGAACCTGCCTTGTCACTGCAGCCATCCAAAATCGACTTCATGGTTTCCTTTTATAGATCCCTTGTCTTTGTATGACTTGTTTGTAGAATAAAGTCCTATGAAACCTGAGGTTTGGGAGAATTTCACGAATCTCATTGAACAGAGTCCAGCAGTGGGAGGAATGTGCTCATCCTCCCTCCTCTCGGAGGGGCTGTCGCAGGACGGGTCCACCAGCTCAGCCCGGGGGCTTGGGTCCTTGCCGGCCTGGCCAGGAGGAAGGCCGGCCAGGGCCTCGCTGCTGGGCAGCAGCCCCAGGAGCCCGGGGCTCGACCCGCAGTCTGCACCAGGGAAGGCCCGACSAGAGTGCTGCTCGCTGCAGCAGGTGGGCAGACGGCAAGGTGTTGGGCGCAGAGGAATGGGGACCCTGGCATGGGCTTCCTGGAGGTCACCGTGGTGACACTGTCAAGTCACCCTGCGGGCCACAGCTGCCYTCCTGGGGACACACCTGAAGGGGAAGCACTGTCCACTGCCGAGTCTGTGGTGGACCTGTCCCGTTGTGAGAAGGCAGCATGTCCTGGGAAGGCGGCCTTAGCAAGGAACCTCGGGGTGTGACCCGCCTCAGCCGTGGGGTTCCCCACACAAAGTGCCAGGAGAGGTGGGTGCCCATGGCTTGGCTCACGGGAGGAACCCCARCCCCAAAAGTCTCAAGGGGTTTCTTAAAACCACAACATCCGAGGAGGATGTGGGCCYCTGCAACAGGCCCTGCTGGCCAGAGCCCAGCTTCCTACGCCAGCCAAGGTCTMTGCACCTGAACACCAGGCCCAGTGTTCCCGTGTCCTGAGCTGAGCGGGGGTCTGCGGTTTTTGTTTGGGGTTTTCTCAGAGCAGTGTGGTGGGAAAGCCTACGCAGTGATGTGATGGGCACTCCTGTGTGTCTGGCAAGTTCCCTCTCCACTGCATCAACCCAGGCAGACATACTGTCCACACAGCCCCCACCCTGTGGGCTGCGCCCAGGGCCACTTGGAATAGGTGCGCTGGCTGCAGCTCTGGAAAACTTTTGGTATGCGGTAGCATGAGGCATCACAAAACGCGGGCTTTTCTTACACCTGGAAGAAATTCTCACAGACCAGCAGGCCACCGATTGGCTTTATCCTCAAAAGCAACCCCAGGAGAGAAAGCCCATAATCCTGGCAGACAGGCTTCGGGAGGGAGGGATCTCACGGCCTCTCTCGGTGGAGCCGCCGCAGCCCCTGCAGGCCAAGCTCCGGTCCTGCACCTCCTCACCCGGGGAAGACACTTGCTTGGGCAAGACAAGTGTGAGACTCACCTCCTGACCCTGCACCTCTCTGCTGGTGCCCACCCAGACGCTGGGGACCCACGTGCTGCACTGTCACAGAGCACTTTGCAACCRCCTCTTCTCCGGCCCCAGCACTGGCACTTCTTGCTGAAGCCAGCAGCCGCCCCTCTCCCCATGACTTGTGTTTGGGGAGGACACTTGGTGTGCTCAGGAAGGCCCTGCGCCTGACTTCACAGAGAACACATGTTCCAAGAGGCTTCATCTCCCTCCACCTGGCCTTGCACAGGGACAGCCTGACTCGGAGGTGACACCCTGCCGGAGGGTGTGCTGAGAGCCACACAGCAGACCCCTGGTGCCCTGGGCCCACTTTGGATGCATGAACAGCAGCAAGTGAAGTGCATTTCCTGTGCAGTTTTCATGATCACAGACAACTGCTCCTCGCAGGAACCACAGTGGCACCCGACCACCTGCATCCATGGGAAACTGAGCAGAGCCCTGCCTGCCTATGTCTGTCCTGGTGTTACCCCGGCTGTGCCCACCTGACCTCTGGAACCAGTGCAGGGTCAGGACACCAGGCTCTGCACCAGACTTCACACAGGGCACTTGAGCTGCATCCACAGGACCAGGGTGGATAGGGGACAGGGCGGGCCCTAGGACTGGAGGAGAAGGTGGTGGTGGTGGTGCCACCCAGTGTGGGCGGGGCAGGCACTAGAATGGGGGGAGGAGGTGGTGGTGCCCAGAGTGGGTGAAGGCAGGCGCTAGGAAGGGAGGAGAAGGAGGCGGTGGAGGTGGTGGTGAAGGTGGTAGAGGTGGTGGAGGATGTGGTGGTGAAGGAGGTTTTGGTGGTGGTGGAGGAAGAGGTGGTGGCGGAGGTGGTGGTGGAGGAGGTAGTGCCCAGGGTGGGTGCTAAGATGGCAGGAAGAGGAGGTGGTGGAGGAGGAGGTGGTGGAGATGGTGAAGGTGATGGTGGTAGTGGAGGTGGAAGAGGAGAAGGAGGTGGAGATGGAAGAGGAGAAAGGTGGAGGAAGAGGGGTGGTGGAGGAGGAGGTGGTGGAAAAGAAGGTGGTAGAGGTGTTGGAGGAGGAGCTAGTGGAAGAGGTGGTGGTGGAGGTGGTTGGAGAAGGTAAAGGAGGTGGTGGTGGTGGTGGTGCCTGGGGTAGGCAGGGCTGGCACGAGGACGGGAGGAGGAGGAGGTGGTGGAAGAGGAGGTGGTGGTGGTGGTGGTGGTGGTGGTGGTGGTGGTGGAGGAGGAGGAGGAGGTGGAAGAGGTGGTGGTGAAGGTGGAGGAGGTGGAAGAGGTGGTGGTGGTGGTGGCAGTGG